GTCTGATTCATCCACCCCAGCACCTTCCGCTAAAACCTGGAAGAGAGAAAGAAAACAGATTTGGTTGTAAGGAAGAAGTGTCAAAAACCCCTGCACTTGCACAAGTCTATTAAAGAGGCCCTGCTCCTGTAGGTTATGGAAATAAGGCATTCAGCATCTGCCTGCTTTAGTAATGTGCTGAAAAATACAGGGATGTTGCTGTCTCTTAAACACTTCAGAGGCTTAGGCTTCTGTGAAGAAATTGTGACCACTTCTGTCCATATTTGTCTTTCTGAAATCCTGTAATTTTCTGTACCTGTGAACTCTTCAATTTTTATAATCACATGTTGCAGATGAGTTTCTAAGAATTTAGAGATTAACAGACTATGATTTTTAACATGAGCATATAATTGCCAAAGATAGCTACAACCTGTGAACGTATCAAAGGGAAAATATGGGCTTTTGTCAGTGTAAACCTGGAGTAACCTTATTGATGTCAGTGCGGTGACTGAGATGCAAAATTTACAAAACTGAGTTGAAAAATCACGCTTTGTGATCCTAAATGTTGATTAGTACATTTTAAATGATCACTTCACAAACCAGAATCATACCTCCATTTACAGTAATAAAAGAATAATATTTCTGATCTCACTAAACATTTGCCTAATTAAGACAAGATTTTGAAGCACAACTGTTAACAAGCCCCAAAACTTACAGACCTGTGAAATTAACTAACCAAACCAAGCAGTTACTGATGTCAGTGTGTTACAGAACTATTAAAGACTTGAACTAAGTATTGTTAATGCAGGAGAATAACTCTAAGGAAACTATGGATGATATTTCACCACACTGGATAACCTTACTGGAAGAAGAATATGTCACTTTCAGTAATATTTGAGGTGTCAAGTCCAAATATCTTTTTTTAAGTAAACAAATAACTTCAAAAGGTAGAAAAATGTTTAAACCAAATACTACTTTCAAGGTCAAATTCAAGTTCATTTGACCTCAGAGTGAGTCTTTCCACTGACTTTACAGTGTTTGGAAATCAGAACCTTTGTGTCATAGAACTGTTTGGGCCAAGTTTTGTGTCGGCCTGCACAGTGGTATTGGTTGTATTCTAGCTTAAACTCACTGGGTGTGTCCACATGAGCACGCATGTGCCTCTTGCCCTGCCTCAAACTCCTTTTGCCATCGAAAAAAAAACTGTTTAAAAAAGTAGAGGGCATTGTCATGCCCCGAGGCAACCGGAGGCTGGGACCTCCATGGCAACCAGAGCATCTCTATGGTTGGCCTTCGCCCTGGTGCTGAAACACGTGGCCGGCCAGGCTGCATGTTTCAGCACCAGGGCTCCAGTGCCGGTGAGTAAGGTGTTGGGGGGCTGCAGGAGGGGGGAGGGGACTATGGGGGGGATCCCCGACCCCTGCTGGGGATGACCCCTCCCCCCTTCAGCCTCCCTGAGGCCTCCAGCCATGGGGGCCTGGGGGTGCAATTTGGGGGGTGGGGATGGGTGGGGAAGCCATTGGGGGGCTGCAGCAACTGGTGCAGGATGGGGCTAGGGGGGACAGTGGGGGGGGGCATGTGGGCCTTGCAAGGGGGGTTGGCTCTATGGGTACCATTTGGCCCCCATTGGGGGGGCTGTACCACTTGTTTGGGGGCAGGCCCCTTGTGTAGGGGGCTGAAGCCACTGTTGGGGGCCCAAACCCCTTGTGTGGGGGGCCATCTCCTTGTGGGAGTGCAGCAAAATGTGTGTTAATGAATTTATGAAACGATGAAACGTGTATTTAGAGGTCACTTTATTATTATGATAAGAGACTTGCTTTACTACTGTAGATATATCAATAAGACATTGTCCAACTGATTGCTGTCTCTCTCTCTTTATAGTGGTCTTTTGTTTTACTTGTGCAGGGACATGGATTTGTGGGTATTTTACAGTGACTTTGGGATTTTTTTTATCAGGGATTTTTCAGTTT